TTTTTTTAAACTATAGTCCAGCCCTTCCACAGGTCTGAGGGACAATGAACTGGCCCCGTTTAAAAGTGTGAGGACCCCTGGCTCAGAGCATTAAAAAGTGCTGTATTCAGGATTACGGTTTTACTGTAGCAAAAGGACACGAATGAGGAGACACATAGGGCAAAGTTTGTTCCACCACCCCTTGGGACGGGGTAGGGCGCTCCCAATGCAGGCCACCATGTCACCAAAAGGCATGTGCTAACCTTCTACAGAGTGATGTCTTTCACCCATCAGCAAGCAGTGAGTGGTGTTTTTGTGACCAAAACCTCAGAGACAAACTCAAGCCTCCCTTCTCCTGAGGTTGACGGGTAATACAAATGATTAAGAGGTGGGCCGTTCTGGTCCACGCCAGCTCCCACCTGAAAGTCCCCTATGTCATTAGTATAACCTGTAAGGTTAGATGTATTAGTATAACCTGTAAGGTTGGATGTATTAGTATACTTAGCATAGATGTATTAGTATAACCTGTAAGGTTGGACGTAGTTCTGCACCCTCATTAAAAACCCTGAAGTCTACAGGTTCTCTCTCAGGAACCAAGAGCAAACTCTCTGGGTAAATTCATGAAAACCCCACACCCTCCTCCCCTCCCCGCAGATGCGCATGTGCACAGGGGTAGGATTTACAATACGTTTGGGAGGAGACACATTCAACTTGTAGCACAGTAGATGCTAATGTCCTTCTAACTATTCAGCCCTAAATCTAAATCAACCACTCTGTATCTTGGCAGATAGATGCCAACTACTTGGCTAGTTAACGAAGCTGCAGGACTGTACAACGGTCATATCCCAACAAAACTTACCGACGGGTCTGTCTTCATTATGTTTAAACTCCACAAGGGAAAGTATCTGTCTCTCTGTGTACTTTCAAGTATTTCTGAGGAATGGTAAGCAGTGACAAACTATTTAAAGGCAGCCTGTGGCACACACCAGGTAAGAGGGAGAAGGAGCAGGGGTCTCTGCAGGTCAGATCAGAGAGGCTTCCTGGAGGCTGCTGCAACTATATTTAGTTTTGCAGAGCAGTGAGGGCTTAAAATGGCCAAGACGGGAAGGGAGGGCCATCCAAACAGAATGGCAGGAGCAAAGACCCAGGCAGGCAAATGGAAAGCATGAGTGGGAACGTCTAGAAATCCCGCATGCTGGAGAAACCTTTTCAGAGAGGCTTGGACTGCCTTGCTATGCCTGGCACTCACTCCTTCCAGAGACCACTGAGAAGGTATCTTACTAACAGAAGCCCTGGCAGCATACTGGGTTACACGTTGGGCTGCGAGTCCTAAGGTCAGCAGTTTGAAACCACCAGCTGCTCCCGGGATGCGAGATGAGGCTTTCTACTCCTGGAAAGAATTAGTCTTGGAAACCCCCAGGGGCAGTGCTACCCTGACCTATAGGGTCACTGTGAGTCGGAAGTGACTTGATGGCAGAGCCCAACTCTCCGCATGTCCAGTGGCTTCCTAAAGCTGCTCCTCTTCTCAACCCTGGCTACTAGGAGCTTTACACATCCTCGGAGGCAGAATTTGCTTCAGAAAATTCTGAGTTATGGCTAACAAGTCCAAGTACTGTAAAGGGTGAAAATAATGGGGGAAAGTACCAAGTATTTTTTTGCTTAGGCAGCATGGTCAAGATGGGAAGAAGGGCAAGTCAAAAAGCAAAGCCAGTTACCTTTCCTTGCGGCAGCCTCTTTCCTCAGCTTCCTCAACTTCTCCAAAGCCCGGAGGAGGTCCACCATCCGCTTGGTGTCTGCCTGCTTTTTCCTCACTTCGGATAGGACACCATCAGCAGCAGCCTTGAGTTCCTGCTCCTGGAGGAGGACCACAGTCCACAGAAACCACCATCAGAGCGCAGCTGCCTGCCACGTCGGGTTTCAGGGAAGCTGACAGTCGCAGGGCTGGATGCACTCAACTGGATCTACATTCCCACTTCCTCGACCTTCACCGCCCCCTCCCCTGGTCCAGCCAAGGGGTCAGTCCTTTCACTGATGGCACAACGCTCATCTTAAAGGAGAACCGCTTCTTTCGGCAGTTGCCATCGGGGCCTGGTTGTTCCTGTTTCCCCTAGAGTGTGATCCCAGGAACTGGGTTTCCTTGTTAAAAAATGTAGACTCCCACTTGAAGATTCAGACTCTCGTGGAAGATATGGAATGGACTCGAAAAGCCCCAGGACTCTACAAAGCTCTCCGACTGACAACTTACACACAGACTTTGCACCTCACTGCTCTACTGTCACAAGGAGCCCAGGTGGAGTTACACACCGAGTTGCTAACTTCAAGGTCAGCAGTTCAAAACCACCAGCTGTTCTGTGGGAAAGATGGGGCTTTCTATTCCCATAAAGGGTTTCTTTTGGAAACTCACAGGGGCAGTTCCCACCCTGTACTGTAGGGTCGCTTGAATCAGCTTCAACATAATAGCAGGGAGGTCACTGAGTTTGGATCTGGGGTCACAAGGACCTCTTGCACACGACAGCTTTCAATCCGAAGACCACGGTCCTGCTCCTTGGGTCGGGTCATAGGTTGTTAAGACACTGTCAACTTGGTTCCAACTCATGCTGACCCCATCTGTACACACCGGAACAAAACCCGAACCGTGGTTCCCGGGGACACTTCTCACCATGGGGCGGGAAGCCTCTTACCCAAACTTCTCTCCCACCCGCCAACAAGCACCTGTAATTCACTCCTTCATTACAACCACACCATGTTGCTTTATGCTGCGCTTTCTATCACTCCCCTACCTGGCAGGGCAACTGTGTTGCTACTGCCTTCAAGACTCAACTCAGTCACTATACATTGCAGGAGTCTTCCCTGACACCTGCCCCAGTAGATATTTCTCCTTTGGGATCCTAAACCATGTATGGTTGACATCCTCACACACAGCATGCATGCTGTACTGACATGATCCCCCTCAAGGGCAAAGACATCCCATTCATCTTTATTTCCAGGTATGTATCAGGTCCAGCACATAGTGGGCTCTCATTCACTGTCTCCAGAATGGAATCTAACTTCAGATTACTGTGCTGCCTCTTCAGGTGTGGACCTTTAAAACTCGGTGATTCTGGGGGCACAATGACAAAGCCTGCCATCAATATACTTCGGAGTAAGTTCTATTTAGACTCCAGGACAGTGTCAAGAACAAGGAGGAAGGCGGAAGAGGCGAGGTGGCCATGGAGAGTGGAGTGCCAGAAAAAGGAAACCTCACGGGCCTACATCGACTTTCTGCTGATCAGCTTCCACTTTCAGTAGGGCCCTAGGAGAGGTCGAGATCAACAGACTTTGGAATTAGACAACCTGGGATCAAGTCTGGAGTAAAACTGCCACAAACTAACTTTGATTGCAAGTATGTTAACCTCCCTGTGCCTTGTTTCCTAGCTGCGGAAACAGGAAACTCTGACCTTGGTGGCATAACTCACACTAAGCTTCAGCTGGGCAAGCAGCGGAATCTCCCAGACACTAATGGAAGAGGCTGCTGCTATCTGAAGTCGCAGACACGACAGTTCTATACTAGAGCTCTACTGTGCCCTGTTGGGCCATAGGGTCATTCTGAGTGGGAATCAAGCAACGGCAGAGTTGTTTGTTTTGTGTATGTGTGATCAAGTTGCCATAAGTCCTACTGTAGAGCAAGTATTGCAAAACAACACTGCTGAAGCTAGAGCTATGTGGTTCAATACGTGTGACTAAAAAAATCTTGGGGAAACCATCACTATTGCTTCTTTGGCCAACGAGGGAGTGCACTCTTAGAGGCGGTGCCCCCATGCCTCTATATTTTGTATTTTGGGTGTGTGTGTGTATACTGTTAATAGACAAGAAAAAACATAGAACGCTTCAAGAATTTGCATGTCATATTTGCACAGGGCCATGCTAATCTCCTCTGTGTTGTTCCAATTTTAGTATATGTCTTACCGAAGCCGGCACTATTATTTTATATTCTTAAAATCACCCAGACACGAGGACCCAGGCACTTCCTATCCTTGCATGTTTAGAAGCAGACAGAAAGTCGGGGCAGGAGACCTGTCGCCCTTGCAATGCAGCCACGGTGGGCGCTGAGAGCTTTGGCGTTAAGTTCTGTACCTCATTACCACTTTCGTATCGAGGTATGGTGCCAGGACGAAGAGGCAAGCCGTCGTGTTTGTTTTTAAACCGTGAAGAAGACCCAGGCAGGCCTGCAGAATGGCAGCGCAGAGCTTCCACAGGCTTCCCCAGCCCAGCGCCAGCGAGTGAACCTACTCACCCGTTTCTTCTCCTCCACCTCCTGCACGCACTTGACCCTCCAGCGGTCAATCTCCTGCTCCCGCTCCACCGCCCGGGCGGCCTCCGCCTCCCGCGCGGCCTCGCGCTCCCGGGCCCGCTCCCGAAGCCGCAGGCGGCGGCGCTGGACCCTCTGCAGCTTCCGCCGCACC